CGGCGCCGCGAGGCGTCAAAAAGGGATGACGTCTGTCTCACGTGATGCGCGATCCGCGGAGGAAAGTGGCGGATTTATCCTTCGTGTGGATACCCCTTTAAGGGGTATCCACACGAAGGAGAACTCCGCGGACGGATGTCGTGACGTCAACATCCCGGGAAACTCCGTCGCCCGCTCCGCCGCGTGCGCCTGCGGAACTTTCGTGCTGACAGCACGAAGCCTCCGCGCCTCCGCCACGGAGGAGAACGGCGCCGCGAGGCGCCAAAAGGGATGACGTATATCTCACGTGATGCGCGCTCCGCGGAGGAAAGGGGTGGATTTCTCCTTCGTGTGGATACCCCATTAGGGGCTAGCCATGTCGGTATGTCCGTCCGATGTCCGGCGTCGGGTGCTCCTGCTCACGAACACGTGAGCACGTGCTCCCGTGCTCGTGTAGGGAAAAAAACAACCGCATCTCCACGTGGTGAATGATGTTGATTGGGGCGAAGCTCTGCTGTTGCTTGTCTGCGTTGACGCTGAGCCGCAGCATGCCGAGCCTTTCGTTCGTGAGTCATCCATGTCAGAAAGAGAATGTGTGGTATGGAACGACGCATGTGAGCATTTGACCGCAGAGTGACATGGATGAAAACGAACGAAAGGCTCGGCATGCTGCGGCTCAGCGTCTACGCCGACAAGCACCACGAGAGCTTCGCCCCAATCAACATCATTCACCACGTGGAGATGCGGTTGTTGTTTTTGTTCGGCCGACACTAGCGCCGCGTCGGAGGCCAGGAGACACCTGGCCGGCTGACGCCATGCAGCTCCGTCCGGGGGTTTCTGCTTCGTGGGAACACCGCATTGCTATAGGCGTTTTTTTTTTTTTTTTTTTTTCTGTCGTTCTCAGTCGTGTGTGTTCTGTATCTGGTATGCGGGACGAAAGAATAATAAAACATTTCAACCTAGAATATTCGAGAAAGTAGAGGCGAGGCAAAGCAAACATGTGTGACAATCACGCATTTTTCGTAAACGCTTTCCAGCGGCGTGGAGAGATCAAAACGATCTTTTACCGCATACCAGAACTGACGACATTCAAGATGGCTGCGCCCTTGTGGAAGAGGAGCATAGACATAAAAAAAAAAACAGCCCGTGCTGTGACATAGAGCAAGTCATAAGCAAGTGAAACCTCATGTGATGTGTTACGATCGAAGGCAGTCATTTAAGGTCTAATCTTCTTCCCTATCATTCGCTGTGCTCTCTCTCCGTAGATTGGAAAGATTCACTCACCCGAAAGCTTCGCGGGGAAAAAGACGGATTGATTTTTTAAGAGTGCACGTTTCAGAGTCGCGTCAATGTACCCATTGTGATATCCGTGTTTCCAAATGTCAACGGCTTCCAGCAACGTCCTCGCATAAAACACGGGAAATGTTTCGCCGCCCTGTTTGCGAAAACGAAGTTCCCTAAAACCACTTGTGAGGCTGAAAACTACTCGGAGAGCGAGTCGTCTGCTTGTTGCGCATGGGCTGCGATGACGTCAGAACGACGCCGACTTCTGATTGGCTTTGATTGGAAGGACAGCGCCTAGGCTACAAGGCATCTAGTACTCAGGTTGGCTCACTATTTTTTTGGTTTCGATCAGCCAATAAGAGTTTGCCGTTCCGACATCTTGCAACTCCTGTGCAAGAAGCAGGCGAAATTGCTTTCTGCATATCGTGAGGTAGCCCCGCCCGTGTGGCTCTCAGAAAGTCTATTTATCTAATGCCATGTATGGCTGCTCTTGCTTTAAAAAGACGATGTCCACGAGAAGGGTCCGTCACATCAGCAGTTGTCCCGTAACTCAAATGGACAAATAATCGTCGTGGTGGAGGTCAAGAAGTGAAAAAAAAAGCCAAAACATAAACAAAAGCTTTGTGCTCGAGTGATTTAAACTAAATGCGTGCGGTGTCCGGGGTGTTGCCTCGAGTATGGTCGAGAGCTTTCTAAAATCTCGGCACCAATGCGTCAAAGCAGAGAGGCCCGAGAAAGATAGTCAACGTCACGCTCAAGGACAAATTATTGCCCCTAAATAATGTTTTTTTTTTTTTTTTCAAATGTTTCGAACAACGTGAAAAGATGTGACATAGATGTTATGAGTACGCACCGGAAAAAAAGATTTGGTTTCTCTTTCTCTAGGTCTAGCTTAAGTTAACTTTGCTTGAGATTTTCCTCGGTATGAGTGATATTTTGTGTGAAAGATGTGACATAGATGTTATGAGTACGCACCGGAAAAAAAGATTTGGTTTCTCTTTCTCTAGGTCTAGCTTAAGTTAACTTTGCTTGAGATTTTCCTCGGTATGAGTGATATTTTGTGTGCACTGTATCGGTTTCTTTATGTTATGCTCGCCAGACAGCTACCGTGGCAAGTGCTCCACGTCGGGGTTCTCTTGTCATGTTAGCCAGTGCGCTTCCAATGTCTGTTTGAGTGCTCCTTCGATTTCCAGCACTCTGTATGTTATTTTTTCTCTGTTGCCGGTGGGGAGGCGAAACTCAGCCGAGCGACAGCAATCTGCTTTTTTTCTTCCTCCCCCTCTCCACTGGAGGGGAACAATAAAGTCGAAAGTTGAAAGCTGAAAACCTAAAAACGGAGAGTGTGACAATTTCTGAGTATGATTTAATGATTCGCAGCTAATTACAGTTTATATTCTAACATTGGCTGATGACAACGCCGCACAATAGAAGCCACACCTTCCGGATCCTAGGCGGTTTTGACTATACGGCGTGCAAGTGTTCCGAAATGCGTCTTTGGTGAATAAGAAGGCAAGGTGACCAATCAAAAGACGGCGCAGCGAATGAACAGGGCGGATGACCTGGGCAGCCAGGCACACGTCGTGATTGGTAGAGGTAGGCCGAAACAAAAGCATGTGGCTGCATTTGGCGGATAAACAAGAGCACGAGGCGCGCAAAAAGCAGCTTGAACGCCGTATAGCAACCCAGTTCCAGGTGTCAAAATGCGCGTAATCCCCCACTGAGATCAAAGAATTGTCATTGAAAACAGACACCTAAACATGACATACACCGAAACTGCAGGTAAAACGACACAGACACTAAAAGATGTTTCCCGGTGGTCAAGTTTCAATTCCAAGTGAATAGAAAGAGTCAATGCGGAGGTGTCTATTTTGCAAGCTCTTTAACTTAAGAAACATGAAATGAAAATATTGAAGCCAAAAAGTTGCCACTTTTTTTTTTCATTCGGGTTTCTTGGTTTCATTTTTGAGCGCCTGCTTCCGCGACATTCCGGCGGTTTCAGATTTCAAGCCTGGGGAACTTTCCAGGGCTCTTCCGTCGGATGTTAAGCTTGCATCATCTGAATTCAATTCTGAGGACACGTGCGCGGAACGCGTAATTTCAAAAATATAAATAGCCCCACCAAAGCGAAACTTCATTCGAATATAATCGTTGTAGTTTTCTAAACGTATACCAAATAGCAACACCTCCTGCGGTGCGCGAGGTTTACGTCAAATTTATGTCATGTCGTGTTCAATTTGTGTCATGTTTATGTCATGTTCAATTTAAACCAGCTCGTTTCCGCCTTTACATTCACCTCAAAGATACCTGTTGGTCTTTTAATTGGCTGAACTATTTTAGTGAAGTCCAATGATTGGGGATCGAAATATGGCGGGGTTCAGATGTGTCCCGAGGGTCTTTTGTGAATGCAGCCACAACGTTCGGCGTGAACCATTTTGTTATATTGTCCCCTTTTTAGTATAGTGAGCTATTTGAGTTCATCAAAGCGTTGCGTCAGTTTTGTTTAAACAAATTTCCAGTGTTTGCCAAATAAGCATTTCAAATTTGACCATTCATATTCCTTACTACAAGCTCATCAGCTTCTTGCGCATGCGCAGAGGGCACAGTGACGTCACGGCGCCGAGCTGCAAGGCTCCAGCGTCATAGCCGAGTTATAAAAATGGCCTTCTTTTGCCGGCTAACCCTTTGACGGCCGTCACCGTACATGTACGGCGGCAGTTATGCATTTGAAAGTGCGCGTCTAAACGCGAAACCTCGCGCACCACAGGAGGTGTTACTATTCGTTATATCTTTAGCGAATTACAAAAAAAAGGTATAGTTGAATGGTGTTTCGCTTTGTTGGGGCTATTCATAGTATTGAAATTAGACACTTTGCGCGCGTGTTCTCATAATTTAATTCAGAAGACGAGAGCGTACCCTCCGATGGAGGAGCTCTGTAAAGTATTCCAGGTTCGGAATCTGGAACCACCGGAATGTCGCGGAAGCAGATGACCCAAAAAAAATCTGAACGGTAAAAAAAAAAAAAAAAAAGAAAAAAAAAAAGAAGGTGACAGTTTTAAGCCTTTTATATTTCAATTTCAAGCCTCTAAGCTTAAACAGGTAGCAGGCACTGTACGTGCCCCCGCTATTAAAAAAAAGTATCCTCTGCATTGACTGTTTGTTTATATTATTCATTTGGAAGCAAAACCTGACCATTGAAAAACATATTTTGGGGAAATAATTTGACCGTCAAAGTGCTCTAAACTGCCAGACAACCAACAACGAACGAAGGCATCACTGCCGAGTCGCTACTTGCCCACTTGAACGATGTGTGCTGGCGCCGAGCTGTGTCGTACACACTACTTCTCAGCTTTTCACGCCTCTTTCGAGGAGCAAAGCGGCCCCTCACTGTTTTGCGCCTCCACCTTCACGCACAAAGGGATGCATTTTTTTATCCCCTTGCTCGCCATATGGGGACGAAACAGAGCCCGGCATTGGGACGCATTTCATTCGTGAAGTATATTTACGGGGTGTCTTTTTCATAAAATGGTCCTAGGGAGCTTTATTGACCTACCTACCAAAGTTTCATGGCAACATTTGAAATTCATACGGGCCTTTTAATATCCCGAGTAATGTAGTCTGTATAGAAACAAGTGTGGTACCTTTCCTAGTACGCTTCTAGATTTTGTTTGTTTGTTGAATAGTGACTACGCGTTATTAGGGTCGAGCCTGCAAGACGTTTACAACTCCAAGAGGCAAAGATGCAACCAAGCAAAGGCGTCTGTGTTGTACGGCCTTTTATTCCGTTCCTTCAGTCTTGGGCCTCCACGACAAACAGACATCAGCTCCCATGATTTATTAGTACAGCTTCAATTATGTGATAACTTCGAATGTCGATATAGTGTCGAGATAGCTTTATATATGCTGATAGCATAAAATAGGGTTATCGAGAATCTGTTACGTGACTTGGTTACTTCGGGCAATGACCCGAGACCTCCCCGAGCCCTTCCAGAGACTCAGCCAATCGCTCTTACTCTTTGCAGCTTGTCCTTGCCCTCCTCGTCGCGGCGGTAGCCGCTGTCACTGCTGGATTCCTCGGCGGCTACGGTGGTGGTTACGGTGGTTACGGTGGAGGCTACGGTGGAGGCTACGGTGGAGGATATGGTGGATATGGCGGATATGGTCACAGAGGATATGGGGGCCACGGCGGCTATGGCGGCTACGGTGGTTACGGGGGCTTCGGAGGATACGGAGGCCATGGCGGCTTCGGAGGATATGGAGGCCACGGAGGTTACGGTGGCTACGGCGGCGGATATGGCGGCTACGGTGGTTACGGCCACGGCTGGTAGTCTATCTACAAGGCGCAGTCATCCCCGCAGTAACACACCTCCTAAAGTCGTCATTTTGTAAATAAATTGTTCTAGAAACGAGTCAGACTGTTTTCTTTTTTTCTCGTGCAACCCTTGGATTCCGGTAGTCCTGTTTTTGAAAATGAATTTCTGGCTTATGTTTTGAAATTAGGTAAGCAAACTATCTATTAACCGAATAATGCATTCGACGTTACTACTTTTAGCCCATTCACATAAGCTATTTTGACTGCCGGCCAATGTATACTTATCGCCCCCTTTCCGAGCAATGAGGTATAGGTGAATGTCGAAACAGTTAATGATTGGATGGTTCAACTAGTAAGCATTTGATGTTCCTATTAAAGAATACAAAAAGCGTCGATCGCCTCGTAGGCCATTCTATATTGTATGCGATTCAGCATTGATTTCGGCCTTGAGCGAGCGGCCTCTCCTGCTCAGGCTGTCCCGTTGTGCGCTTCGTTATGAGGCGATTCTTCGGCTGCTGCCAATATAGCGCTCCCACGGGATTAGAGACCGTTCGCGTCTTGCGGATAAGTTTGGCGAGCACTGTACCTCCGGGGACAACGTGAACTGAAACACCCAACATTGCTCTTTCAGGCGCTTGTGGTTCTCCCGAGCTCTCTTACCTTTCAATGTGCTCAATAGACCAAAGTGTGGGACCTCAACGTCGCGTTTCATTCCTATGCGGATCGCAAGTTCGTCTGCTTCTCTTGCAGGGGCATGTGATGACGTCAGAATGACTCCGAGCTCTGATTGGCTCTCACTGAAAAATAGTTGGTAGACCTCAAGGCAAGTTGCCTTAAAGTCTACACGCTATCCTTTGATAAGAGCCGACCGGAGCTCGGCGTTCTGACGTCACCACAACACCTGCAAACAAAGCAGACGAACGTGCGACCCGCATAGATAGAACAGCAGCACTCAGATACTGACAGGTACACCACAGAAGCGCGAAGTACTGTTCCAGTTTGCAATGTTCACGATTGTACAATTTAGAAATGTCGGTAAATGACGAGGTTAAGAAAATGCTTATGGTTTTACGTCTAAAAAAACGGTCTGCGCTTTTGCACTGAGCATGTTAAAACGTCACCCTTAGTGCCACAGCGTAGCTCTTGCAAGCCATATACCCAGCCACGTCATTCGCCGAGATCCCTGCGTTGACTGCAGCGATGAGCTGTCCTAAATGCTTTGCTGTGAAGTAGATGCTTCAGATTTCTTAGAGCGCGGACACTGCCTTGCCTCCAGTACCCGGTGCATCTACATGTTTCACCTGGGTGACAAAATAACCAAATTCGACGCTTGTGTTTATGCATGCAGCGTAAGGTGCGACAACACTGGTTACGCTATATACAAGAAATTTAGCAAGTGCAATACCACTGCTAGCCCGGGGTCTTTAACATGCATCACTCAGTAGTGATACACAATCACACGCCGATACGATGCTCATCCAGATCGAACCGGGCAGGGATGGGGTCACTGGGTTCTGCAGCGCGATAGAATTTTGAGTATCCAGCGTCAACTTTTAGAGCTACGTCCTCAAGGTTACCAACGTTTGAACAGTGCTGCAACCTGGAACTGCTGCGCGAGTACGCGGTTTCCGCTTGTTCCTCATTCGTGCACGCTCGCTCCAGTATCTTTGACAGGAATGCGGAGGTTACACTATGCTTCATTTCACCTTAAGTCCAGACCACGGAGTAAGATACACTCTTTAGGTGAGGGCACGGCGGAGCTGAATGCGCGGCGCGAGGAATCAGATAGTGTTCATTCGACGGGCATCCGAAAGGCTGCATCCTTCCGCGGCCACCGTGCCCGCGGCTGACAGCGTCGCCGGCAGCCAAACGGCGAAACTTTGTGAGAGCGAAACAAAATTATCTCGTTGCCATGACACCCCGGTACACCGTGGTTTTTCTGCACGAGCGACAACCTCGCTGGAGCTCTGCGCGTGAGGAGCATGCACGAGCCGTCTTTGCCGTGCCAACGGGTCGACGAGTCATCTGCCGGCGCCGCCTGAAAGCATAGTGAGAGAAAGAGTGAAAAGCGAACTTTATCTGCACTGCGCGAGGAGTGCGCTGTCCTCACCTGAAGAGTATTATCTTACACCGTGGTCCAGACCACGGTGGTCGAGACGCAGCCGACGCTACGATCTAATGGGTCCAATCGTACATCGTCAAAAGCCCACCATCCTGGTGTTCATGTTTCTGTATCTGCTCTATTATCGCTGAGCCAATCACAAACAAAAACTGCCAAGTGACTTGCGCTTTTGGCTCTGGTTGATTGGTTCTATTGCCTCGTAGCATCGGCTGCGTCTGGAGTTAACCTAAAACAAAGTATAGCCTTGACAACGTAAAATAACAAGGTTGTCCACATTTTCGCGGGAGATTGTGGGTCTGCTCCTGCTGCCTACGGAAACGTGTGGAAAACGATGTCATTGTTCTTGATTCGTAAATATAATTCCTCATAATATTGTCAGGGCTGCCCGTTCTCGTGCTTCAGGCTTTCTGATGATATAAGTATTAAAAACTAAATTTTGCGCGGTAGAATTCTGGCGCATGTTCGATGAGCGTGAAGAAAATGCGGAATAAGCTGTGATGGAAGTCACATCGACCCTTTCCAAATTTAGTGACATCTGGTGGCTCGAAAAGCAGTTTAATTTTTTCTGCACTAATGGCAATCGTCAAAACCTGTTTCTTCGTGCAGCCTCCCCTTCGCACGTCAACGGTTATCGACAACTTTGTTCTCTTTTGATTTGTTTCAGTTTCGATTGTTTGAGTCGGTTGTGTCCAGATCAGTCAAAACGACAGCAACTACCGGAACGCCGGGACAACCACGACTCACGATTACTTCACGAAGCTACTTTTTGCATTACTTGGCACGTTGTGTACGACGAACACTTCTCCCGATGACTTTGTCGTCGCCGTCGTTTTGGTCGCTACGAAGTCCAGCAACGCAGATGTCGGGCCTCGTATCCTTCGCTCGGCAATACCTTGTGCTTCTTCCTTCATTCACCACCCGCCAGAAGGCCGCCCTTAAAATGACACAGATTCCACGCCTATTCATGAAATAATGTGATGGTAGCCATCAAAGTGGTTAGACGGAATTTCGCGAAGGGTCTATTGCACGCGGCTGTGCGGTGATTCTTTCGAGATCAGCGGGCTAATGTTTGTTCGTGAGAAAGTTATAAGAAGGCATGCCCACTATCATTTTGTACGTAACGCGTCTCCTTGCCAAGACACTCACCATATTTTAGTTCACCTCTGCCTGGAGTACGCGGTACCGAGGAGGCGTTTAGTATATCCGCCTACCTGAACTTTTGAATGCGGCAGCATTTCTTTCCAGTCGTTACATCGAAACGCACGCGCGTGCGCGGGAGAGTGGGGTACACACGCCATCCTCTTCACGTTCTCCCGCGCATGCGCGGAATAGCGGGACAGGGCGCTCGCCGGATGTGCCACAATGCGTCGCAAGAGGAAGGAGCGGATGGATCAACGAACATAAGCGGCGACGTGCTGAGAACCGTGCTCGACGTGCCGAAGATACGCCGGAGGAAAGAGAGCGACGTTTGGCTAGGGACAGAAGAGGAAGGCACATTGGATGCTTAGTTGCCGTTATAGTACAGGGTTCGTCGCAATTTAGTCCGCTAAATATAGCGTACATTCGAGACAAGCAATGCTATCGCATTTCAAACTAATCTGCAACGAAGCCCCAGAGAAACTGAGCCCCGTTCTATTGCTCCAAATGTATCGCGTCCGATGTGGCAATACTAAAAACCACAATTGAAACAAACCACTACAAGTATAAAGCCACGTGCACACCGGCAAATCGCGCGTGGATGCTTCTGAGTCGGAATTAAAAATGAAAACAGAAAATGAAGCACTGGCTGTCAGCCACGCCGAGCCGATGTTCGTCTCACCGCAGAGTCGGCCGCACGTTTCCGTGTAGGCGTTCGGGACTCCGCTCGTTCACCGGACGTGCATGCTACAAGAGTTCCAGTCACGAGTGGCCCGGTTTGCGACGACAAAACGGTGCTCGGACCGCTGCGATCGGCACGACGACAACTAGGTTTCAAGAAAGTTGCAGTTGCACAACGACAGTCGCCGCTGCTCCTAGAAAAGCCGCCGATCAGGAACCTGTCTCGCGTCTCGTTAGCTGCGCTTACATTCTGTTCCTTTCACTTCTTCCGGACTGCGCACTGAAGTTCCTGAAGCGTTTTCATAAAGAAACTAAAAAAGAACCGAGATTACAAGAACAATGTGATTAAAAGGAATAGGACATACGTTACTATAAACTGGACATCCCTTGCATGTTACACAGTACGGCGGCCAGGCTCGGGGGCCACCAACGAGCGTGGCCGTAACATTGTTTTAGCAACAACAGATCGCACACTTGTAGAAACACGGTGCTTTTGACGTTTTTAACGTTTTTAGATATATACACGATCCTTTTTATTGTTTTTAATGAGCGATCGGCTTTTACGTACCTTGATGAGGTGAATTTAGTGTTGGAAGCTTTTAGACACCTTGGGAAACATTTAACTTTCAGCCATGAACTGTCTAGCAGGGTAGACTACAGTTTTTAGACTTGAGTTTTAAGATCCTAGAGGGACACACGTATTGGATGCATTCTCCGAGGTCCCAAAAGAAACTCCTGTCTTATAATTCAGCGCATTCTAAGATAACAACAAAAACAAAAAATTCAAGACGTTTACAATTCTCTGTAATGCCGGATTAGAGCGCAGCTCTTGGGGAGGAGGAGGGGAGGGTACGGATGGGAGGATATGCCCCTCCTCTCCCTTCCCTTCTCTTCTTCTGGTACCCTCCCAATTCGCGAGAAATTTTCGCTAAATTTTTTTCCGATAAATTTAGCGGTGAAATGTTTCCGCTAAATTTACCAGGGAAATTTTTCGTTGAATTTGGCGGTGATATTTTTCCGCCAGATTCAGTGTGAAATTTTTCTCTAGATTTAGCGGAAATATTTTCAGCTAAATT